CAATCAGAAACTCGGATTGATGCCTTCAGGGAAAGTCATGTTGGACGCTCACATCGATTTGTTTTTCGTTCGGTGGGGCTGATGCCTTCAGTGTAGCTTTTGCCTCTCCGACATAGAAATCATCTGAATCTTCTTTCTACCTCTCTTTCTTTTCACACCACGCATAATGTAATGATAAAAATTAAGAAAAAAACGCTGAGGAAATATAATGTTTGGTTTGCTAGCGAGCGAGAACTGATTTGAGAATAATTGCACATGCGCGTGAATTGAATGAACTATGACCCGTACAATCTCGATTTGCATATTGTCAATCAAAGGTCTTGTTATTTGGTTACTCATGCAAATTAGGCAATTAGACATAAACATTGCCACGAGTGAGTGTTTTTTATTTTTAACCAGAAAATAAATAGCAATTTTAACGGTGTTCCAATAAGAATTCATTGGTAAAATATTCACAGAATGTTCTTTAGATAAAAATCTATATAAAAAACGATTTTTGATTGAAATTCACAAATAAAGTGCATCTCTACCTTAATGGACTTGAATGTTCTTTAATACATACACTTACTCATATATATTTATTTAAACATTTATTAAGCTACTCTTGCTCGTCTGGAACTGCACCTGGAGGATATGTTTGTTTGTCTGAGAGCGTGTTGGGATACATATTAGATGTGGGAAACAATGCTGCAAGTCCGAGCAATACAGTGCAAGTAAGCATGGCATATTTTATTAAGATTGAGGTGTTCTGAACATCTTCTGAGTTACTTCTAGCAATCATTTCCAATCACCAACCTTCATGCTTTTGGAAATTAATGACGACGCAATATCCTCAATAATTGTTTATTTTTCCTCAAAAGGTGAACTCAATTGCTGGTGCCTGCCATTCAACTACATCATACCATTATAGGGGGACAGCAGTCGACTTTCAAGTCAAAGCCAGTAGCCCATGGGAAACATATATGAATTTGTGCGCGGCAAACGGAGCTGTGGAAAATTTGGGTCCCGGTGACCCTGGACACAGCAGTCATACTCACTGTGCATTCTCATCCTAAGATGAATCCATACAACATCACTTACTTTATTCATGGTGATAATTCATGATAACTATTCGATGCAACTTTATTTCTGTCATCTAATTTGCAATAAACTTGATGAAGCAACTACAAAATTGATTTTCAATCTTGCCGTCATTTATGAGTGGATATCGTGAGTACTTTGTATTGGAAACAATCATTAATTATTTGGTGGGTACTTATTCAGTGAGCTATCATAACTATGTATTCTCTTAGTCATATTAAACATTTCCATAAGTGCTTAAATTATTACAGTTACACATAACCATAATAAGATCACGTGATTAAATATGGTAATTTGAAATTCCAGCCACATCTCCTGTCCGACGCATTTAATACTGCTATCAGGGGTAAATTCTCCTCTCTGGGGTTCTCCACACTTGCCAGGGCAGGGGGGGGGGATCTCGTCTCGTCTCTCTATCGCGTCCCCTTGAGGTACGTATACGGGATCGGGAAAGTCACTTTAACTTTACAGTCAAATAAGACGCACACAACGAAATACGTTTCAACTCTCGTCTTAGTCGGTCTTTCGAGAACTCTATAAGACACAGCGCCCTGGGGAAAAATCCCCAAGACTATCGCAAGGCTGACACAAGACTCGCCCGAGACTACGTCAAGACTCGTCCCAAGATTCTCCAGGACTGCGTCTGTTCTGGTGTACTCGCCAAGACCAACTCAAACTCTCTTTATTCATTTTCAAAACTCTAACCAATTACAAAACAGTAAAAAGACTCTAGGGCGTAACTTTCAATCATAAAGCCAATCACACTAAGTACTGAATACGTCATATATTTTGATTAATCGTTCACTACATTAATAACTACGGATACCAACTTTCAGAATTAATAGTCCGAATAGCGACGGTTATCTCGAAATTAGTTCCAAGTCACTGAGCCAAGTTCCGTCCAAAACTTCAAATAGGCCTAAACGATGACAGACATAACACAGCAATTCGCTAATAATCAGCTAATTAAGTCGATTAACAGATACGCAAAAACTAATTCATGACACTGCACTGGTTGCATTGGGGAATCTGTAACAGTGCTTCAGATATTACAGTCATGTATAATAAAGAGGTTACATGATAATATATATATATATATATATAAATTGGTTGCATATTCCTATTTGCAATAGTGTTTGAGATATTACAATTACATATATTAATTAGGTCACATTACCATATATGCTCATCTTATATAATATTTTTTGCCAATGACTTTTTTTACAATGGTTGCATGTATATTACAGTTATGAATATTAATGAGATCACATGACATTATATGGTAATCTTTTATGTTCGTCATATTAATTGTCACGTGCCTTCAATATAGCATTGGTTGAATCTTCCTGTATATAACAGTAACTGTGAGGGCGTTGATGCTTGAATGTTTTGGAAAAGTTAAATTACATGACTGCTAAGGATTATTTATGAATATCATCACAATACATTCTACGCAAAATAATCCTCAAAAAGTGGTAGAATTGAGATCTTCCGGTATTTTTACAAAACCCCCGTTACTAATCAAAAATTAGTTCCATTCATTTTGTGGAGTGGAACAAGTAGAATGTATACCTAACTTATCATGCCAAGTGGTGATATGTGATTACAGATGAGAGCAGTCTTCGCTAGCACTATTACACTGGTATGCAAGCATTTCTTATTCACCGAGTGTGTATGGAAATGAAGCAGATATACTAAACTTATAAAAATGGGAAGCAACTTGCTTTTGTAATCGACGGTTAGAAAAGTTCGTAATTTGTCTTACAAAGACCATACTTAAATTTCCACAAATTTAAATGAATTGATAATATGCTCTTAAATAAATAACAAGTTTGACAAGCAGTGTAAAAGAACTGCTATTGATTTAAATATTATAAACTGAAATATTCGGCCAGGCTCTGAGATAATTGTGACACACATCAAAATAGCATGATATCATATTCTTCACTAAGTAAGAGATGTCAATTGTATTGATTACACATGATATGTTGTATTATATTATAATGTTATAATATAGCATAATCACGCTTGTCACATCATAGATATCATTTCGGCAATTACTCATATGTATTTGCAGGCATCGTGTGGAAAGAAGTGTACTCTGAGCGTTTAATTGTAATTCTCGTGCTCTTAAACCTTATCTCAGGTAACCGGGATCGATACGTCCGCAAACCTTTCGACCAAGCAAAGACACACACAGATATAGAATCGTGTCGTCTTCTAGTCCCAGCGCCACGCGGAGAGCTGGCCAAGGCTGGCTCGCCTCCCGGAGAACTCCCCAAGACTCCCAACCTCATGGAGTACTCCCCCAGACAGACTAAGACTAGCTTTATTCACTTCTCAAAACTTTAACCTATCACATGGAAGTTATGGAAGTTTAAGAGCTTTAAGAGTTTAACACTTCATATATATTTGATTAATTGTCAGCTATATTAAAGACTATACATACCAAACTCTCAGGAATAACGGTCTGTCAGCAAAGTATATATCTGTAATTCGTTCCAATCACTGACTCGACTACCACCTAGTACGTCGTATAAGCCTAATGATGACAGGGAAAGTGTTGAAAGATCTCAACCAGCACTTCACATGAAACCAGTTATCAAGTCGATATCTAGACACATGGAAACAATTCATGACAGTCAGTTCTTATGAGCTGACAGCAACATCAATTCAAGATGTTAGATAATGGTGATAAAAAAAACGTGGGGTTGTCACTTCAAAATGTTCAAGTAGAAAAAAACAAAAAAACAATCTAATTGCATACTAATATTGCGAAACTGGATTGTCTCTCTCCTGTATGATGCGTTGGCTGGTGTCACACATTGAAACCTGACGCTGCGTGGTTAATGGCAAGTTCAACATCTTCGTTTTAAAAACAAAACAAAGAAACGTTTCTCAAATTGAAAGGACGAATAATTAAAGGCGCTGAGCGTGAGGCAGTTAGGGGCGACTGACTGGCGACTGGTGAACAGTAAACACAGTATTCAGATCACACATAGCACATGTTAGTGAAACAATCGATTAATAAATTCATATTAAGAAGGTGAAACCAGTTGATATTTTGAGATCGTTATTCATATATTGATGCAAATGTATTAAAACAAATCTGGTACGTGTATACTGCTGTTTTGCAGTTATATTTTTTTTTTGCCGATCAAGGTAGAAAGAAGAAAAACTGCGATGACATACAATTATAAGAACTGGTGCACATGCATTTCAAAATTGTGGTTGGACACGTGATTCGGCGACCATATTGGTTTACTGTAGACGCGTGAATGAAAGGAACATCTAATTACCAACATCGTCAGCAAATAATAGAGTTTAAACCATTTAAGGAAATAATGGCCATAAAATATAATTAACGTCCCAATGTAAATGGCCAGCTCAAACCACGTGACATTGCGCGCGATTAATTGAAAATGTCGACCGTGAGACAGCAGGCTCGACCAGGACACTCGATCGTGTATGGCTTCGAAACCAGTCGGCCGCCGGCGGCGTCGAATAGATATTGTGTTTTGTTTAACGTGTATATTTCCTGTAACTCCAAGTTTGGTTAACTGATAATTAAAATTCGAGTTACTAAATTTGAATGAGTGGGCGTGGTTTCCAAAATATGGGCGTGGTCATTTCTGTAACTCGATGTTCGTAACTCGAACAATTCAGCATCTCATATCATCGATACAGTGTCACAACTCAATCCTTTGAATTTGCATTTTTCTAATGAAGCGGGTGTTAACAACACTACTAGTAATCGTAAGTAAAGACATGCTTTAGTCGGACAACCAGCATTTGAAATACTGCGCTACACATCTGAGGTGAATTCTAACTTTGAACATGTTTCACAATCCACTTGGATTGACGCACTTCAACATACTGCGTGGACCATCAAATAGAATGGAAAGCTATTTCTTTTGAAGAAGTACTGAATCAAACTATTGTAGATCGTGACCATGCATTTCGAGATCACAGTCACTTGGGGGCTGACAATCAATAAATACTAATTTTCAATAAAAATCATTGGCTATACGTATATAAATAAACAAGTTGTGAAACACGGCACCGAGTAAATCGACACCCTGGTCGGTTTCAAATGTCGAATTTCTTACCTTAAAATGCGAAAATTTTT